TTTGCCTGGTGAGTTTGGGCACGGACGCTGCTGGGAAGTAGGGATTTTACCTGGTTTTGCAATAATTACTGTGAAAGCTGGCTGTAAACGCGGCTTTAGAGCTGTTCCTGTCACTCTGGGCGTTGCGTCTCTCAACCGCTGCACCCCAAATGTCTGGGGGTGCTGCAAGCCTGCCCTTGCCATTGGGATCTTCGCTCAGCAGGGTGAGGCCGATCTCCAGCAGCTCCCAGAGGCAGCAGCGAGGGCAGATGAGGGACCTTCCCTGACACTGTTCTTGGCTTAAAACTTTGCAGAAACTATTGGGAGGAGGGGAAAAGGCCACGGAGGGGAGATGCATTGCGCTTTTCTCGCCTCCCGCCACCAGCATCCCTGCTGCACCGGGGCAGCTTCTGGGGAAACCACAGGGGAAGAGCTGCAGCCTCAGGAAGAGCAGAGCATCCCACGGGATGGCCGGGCTGGTCCAGCTTTGCCCATAACTGCAGTCCCAGATGGTGCGTTGGCTGTGGGGGTGCAATGAGGACCCCAAAATCCCGGGGCCTGGCTTATGTGGATGATGACTGCAGGAGCTTGGATCGCTCATCCTGCCTCCAAAGTCTCCCTCTGCCTTCCTCCTCTCTGCAGCTGACCCTGCGACAGCTCCTGGGATGGCTGCAAGGCTTTTCCTTAATGCACAGTGAACTTGTGCCCCGTCCCCTGCGTGCAGCCCCTCTGGGGGGGGACACACACGACTCAGGGGGGACATTGGGCCGTGTCCCTCTGCCCGCTGCTCCCTGCCAGGCTGCGCATCCCTGGCCCGACGCCTGCCTCCATCGCAGGCACGCAGGGTTGAGGCCGTGCTGTTTTCTTTGCGTCAAAATTAACTTCGAACCTGATGGAAAACCTTAATTTGCACTTCAAAGTGCTTTGCAGCAATCTGCCAGCGTGAGCAAAGCCGGAGCTGGCACTCGGGATTTTTTCCGGGGCCCTGTTTGCGGCAGAGCCTGGCCCCACGGCTCCTGCCTGCCCCTGCCTGCCCCTGCCTGCCCCCCTTTAGTTCCCCCAGGGTCACCGGTGCTCTCCTGCCTTTCAGCCCAGCCCTGCGACCCCCCCCAAGAACTGTTTTTCTTCTCCAGGCCACGCACCAAAGGCAACACGCCGATTCCCCGGCAGAAATTCAGATGGAAACGGTCGCGCTTTACTCGCCGAAGCCTCGGAGCAGCCCGGTGCTCGCTTGCCGTCGGCTTTCCAAAACCTCCTTGGGCCTTGCGTCGTGTTTTCGGCTCCACAACCCCCAGCGCAGCACCCGGCTCCTGCTCCAGCCGTGGGAACCGCCCGGCATCTCGGCATCCCGTGAGCGGTACCCACCGATGCCAACCCCGGCTGGGCGAGGGGCCGGCTGTGCCGCCGCTCCTGTGGCGATGCTCCGCGCGCTGAATCACCGCCGCGCTCTTCCCGGCGCATCCCAGGCTCCATCCAAGTGATGATACAGCTGCGCTAAACATAGTGCTGGGAAGAGGAGGGGGGGTGCCTAGGATGGGGGCCCCCATGGGAGCTGCCTTTGGGTCTTCAAAGGGGGGGGACAAGGGGCTGGCTGAAGCCAAGCACCGTCTTTGCCTGGTTTTGCACCGACACCTTTTCCCCCCACCCGACACGAGCTCTCGCGTGATGGAGGCAGATGGCCGGGACGCAGGATCGCGCCGTGCTGATGTCTCCCAGCTCACCTCTGCTGCCGGTGCCTGGGCAGGAGCGAAGACCCCCCCCCACCTTCCCTACCTCCCCCCCCTTTGGTCACCATCCCTGGGGCTCCGCTTCCCCCCTGGATCGTCCGGCGGGGTGGGATGAGGCCTTGGCAGGGATGCTCGCGCCGTGGGTCCGTCCGTCCAGGTCTTGGGGTCTGTGGGTGCCAGGCTGGCAGCGATCCCCCCCCACCCCGGGGGGGGGTCCTGCAGGGGGCTGTGCCCCCGGAGCACAGAACTCACCAGTGGAGCCCCTGGCAGCAGCGGCGCTGGCGAAAGGAGAGCAGCTATTAATAACCCTGCGCAGCAAAGGGAAAAAAAAAAAATGTAATTCCATAATGGAAGCAGCTCGGAGAGAACAATTCGGGGAATAAAATGTTCTGGGCGGGGGGGGAAGCGAGCCCAGCCCCCACGGCTTATGGCTGCAGCTCAGCCCGGCCATCGCCCCCGGGGGCGATGCCCGGGATGGGAGAAGCCCCCCGGGGTCAGCCCGGCTGGTGGGGGGGGGGTCCGGTCCCGTTTGCCCCTCCCCCACCGGGGTAAGGCGG